CGCGGGGGGCGTCGGGGCTCCCCCGCTGCCGGCTTCCCCAAGGCTTTGCAAAGCTGCCCGAGGCCCCCCGCGGCTTTGCTCCACGTCTTCCTGGTCTGCAGACCAGGGAGACGCGGAGAAAGCCCCGGAGTACACGGGCGGCAGGACCGCGAGGTCCCGCAGTCCGTGTCCTCCGGGGCAGCCCCGTTAGTAACTGCGGATCCGACTAACTGACACAGAGGAACTGGCGGGGGCATTCGGCGGCTCCCAAACAGGCAGACCCTCCCCCCTCAGAATCAGTAGTTGCCCCTTGCCGCTGTGCCAGGAACACCAAAAGGCTGCGTCCTGTGTGTGTCAGCCCTGTTTGTTGGAATTCCAACTCCCGTAGGGTTCCACCAAAGCAAGTGATAGCTCCCTATGGGATTAAAAAGAGCAAGAACAGGTCCCCAGTGACTGAAAACACATCAGCACGTAAAACTGGAAACAGAAGGGACCTAGACATCAAGAGACATTGTAATTAGGCAGCTGATGGATGTGGGTACAATTCCATTAGCATTGGCGAGCTGTGGCCGCAGAAGGCCAGCAGGTCTGAAGCAAATGCACCACACTGGCTGTGTGCTGGCCCTCTGCATGTGGCAGAGCTGACCACTGATTTACAATCAATCACAATGTCATTTTCTTACATGCCTGGTTTTTTTTTTTTTAACATGGGGATTCTTACAAGGTGTTCGAGGAAAGGCTGAATTCTGTGTGCATGCTTAAAGAAGCCAACCGGGCTATAAAATTCTTTACTCCCACTTTCTGTCTCCTTTTAAATACAGGTAGGAAATCTTAGTAAAACCATTGACAAAATAAACGGCGTGGCTAGATGCCCGTATGACCCTCGGCACAACTCGACCGCTGTGATTACATCACGGGGAGAACTGTATGCTGCGACTGTAATTGATTTCTCTGGACGGGATCCTGCTATTTATCGCAGCCTTGGAAATGTTCCCCCGCTTCGGACTGCACAATACAACTCCAAATGGCTTAATGGTAAAATGCTGCTGGGTCAAACCTAAGCAATACATGTATTGAAAGTGACAGGATAGGCTTGTAAATCAGCTCCCTCTCCTTCATTCCATTTCCAGAATCCAAAATTGATAGGGGATTTCAGAGACCTGTACACGAGTGTGGTTTATAGAGTACTTTTACAGACAGGTGGTTGGGTCTTGAGATGCCGAAGTGTTCTGTTTGAACATGAAAAAGATATTTTACCACTGGATACCAGTCACAGAATTGCAGATCAGCTAGTGCTACCAATGTTGTCACATTGTTGGCCCAATTTTGCAAGTTCCTGAGTATCCAAAACTCCCATTGACTTCAGTGGAAATTGAAGGTGCGTGACATCAATACAAGATGTAGCCCCGAATGAGGAGAAACTAAGTCCTCCCCCTCCTTGTTATACATTCCTAGATGTTAAAATCAGAAGGGACCATCATCATGGTCTAGTCTGACCTTCTGCGTAACCCAGATCATAAACATTCATCCAATAATTCCTGCATTGAGCTGTGGGTGAGAGAGAACAGAATCTATTAGAAGGAAACTCAGTCTCGTCAGAAAGACGTAAGTGATGGAGAATCTGCTATGTTCCTTGCGTAGTGGGGCCTGATCCACAGCTCATTCAGGTCAGTAGGAGTCTTACTATTGACTTTTGTGGGTTTTGGGTCAAACCCTATGGTCAGTGCTCGTGTCCCCTCTCTCAAGATACTGGTGAGGCTCATCTAGGCTGCTCTGGAGCTGTGGGATATAGTGTGAAGCCGTGACAAGAAAGAGAAGGTACTGGACATTGGCATTGTATTTCTATTAAGAGGCAAAAATCCCAGCATTTCTCCGATATGTCTGCTTTTCCGTACAAACAAAAACAAATTGAGAAAACCCAGGAGAAGGAAGAGCCCAGCTGCCAGTGCCATGCAATGTATCCAAAAGAGCTAATGCAAATCTTAGGTGTATAAATGGTGATATCGAGTAGGAATAGGGAGGTAGAATTGCCTCTGTCTGCAGCACCAGTGAGACCATTATCACAATACTGTGTCTGTTCTGGTGTCCACATTTCTAAAAGGATGTTGAAAAAATGAA